AGGAGAGAGAGAGTGTGCGTGTTACTCGGCAATTTACAATAAGACCATATCCCATTTGCATATTAAAATGGCATGGGGAGAGAGTGTGTGTTACAAGGAAATTAGTAGAGAGAGAAAGAGTCATATTAGGAGATTCGGATAACAACCAAAACTACCATTTGACATCTAAATTGGCTAAAGCGATTCCAAAATGACTTAAAGAACTACTTGAGCTTCTCCCTATTGCAAATACATTTTCGTTTTTTTTTATGTATAGAAAAAGTTTTTATAACAATGAAATTAAGACCCACCTCAAAAAGCGGTTGTTTTCATGCTGAAAAACATTCAAATTCTATTATCTCGACATCTAGATGTGTAGACATGAGAGAAAATAGATTTCAAATCTTGAAAATAGTTTATCTTATAATGTATTATTTAGACCGTTAATTTTCAAGATTTTTAAATATTCATATATCTGCTCGATCTATAATATTTTTTAATCTTTAAATTTTATAACAAAATATAAAATTTAATTTTTAATCCATCATAGAGATTTATGATACCGAAACAACATATTTCGACACTCAATATATTTCAGTACTATTGGAAGGTGTGTCTGAAAGAAAGACTTATGTGATCTTTTATCGAGGAATACATCTTCTTTTTTTTTTCTTTTTGTTTTTCACCTTTTTCTTTTGGCAAAAGAAAACTTACAGGTAATCTTTATTATAATAATAGAAATTTCAAAATAAAATCAACATAACAATAAAACCAAGATCTTAACAACTTGATGTCATTGAAACAACTATGCACTATGCTTGATAATAAAAGATAATATTGCAAAAAACTATGCTTGGTAATAAAAGATAAGATTGCAAAAAACAAAAGGAATAGTTTCGGAGATTACCTCAACCAAACTTATTACACCCCATACTGAATCACCACCATCCAATGGCGCGGGATTAATGATCAACCTTCAATCTCAATCGGGAAAGCAAGTTTAGGCCAAGCCACACTAATAGAACATGAACCCCTTTGATCACAAAATCAAACTCTAAGTGAATTCTCTTAGCAACCTAGTTTGAGAGATATGGATTATTTTTTTGCTAAACGCTATAAAGAATCATATGCACAATGAGCCCCCATGATATTTTTATATATTTAAAATTAACAAAAATATTTTATAATATCATTTAAATATTTAAACCATTGTAAAATCAATATATTTAATTTTATAAATCCAAAAATTATAAATAAAATATCTAGGGGTTCATAAAAATTCAGTTAATAATCCTAAAATAATTTTCATCATAAAACAAACACAATTAAATTAATTTGATGGGAAAATGATCAATATGGTTTAGGAATCAACAATCATAAGGCACACCACCTTCAACTGTAGACTACA